AAGGCGCCCACCCTGAGGGGAAAGCTTGACCGGCTTCGGAGCGGGGTGCCGAGGTGGAAGCTGTGGTTGGTTCAGAGGCAGTTGGGGGAACTGCTGTTGATAGTGATACTGAGAGATGTGGTGCAGTACTTGATGCTGATGGAGCTGATGCTGCTGGAACTACTGCATTTGGGCTTGCATTGCCCGCATGCACTGCATCAAGTCATCAAACTGGTTTTGGCTAGTCGCCAGGGGGACAGCAGTTGGTTCGACAAAGGTCATCTCGACAGGGAGAGGGAAGGGAACATTCATGGGTGCCACCATGTTTGGTGTGTTGAGGCTAGGGATTTCGTCCGTCGATAGGGGGACGGTGAACTGTCCTATGCACACAGTGGCAGGCTGGGGGTGTTCCCCTACAGCATTTAAGTCGGCATTGTGCCTGCTATTGCTGGGAGAAGCTATGGAAGCTAAGGTTTCTTTGAGAGAGAGAGAGAGAGAGAGAGAGTTAAAGGTTAGGGAAGGCTTTTTGAAACTTTCCCACAGACGGCGCCAAATGATGGTGCGCAATCCGATCTGTCCTAGCTGTCGGTTACCTCGCTTCTGACGAGATCGGAGGTGCCTGAAATAAGGAAGAAAATGGAGACTTCCGGGGAGGAACTCGGTTGGAACACTCCGAAACTCAAGTTAGTGTTCTTCAGAAGGCAAGGGAAATGAGGAATTATAAGACCAGAAAACGCAAGAATCACATACCCCCTTCTTTGTGGGATGGGGGCCGTTTATAATTACCCTGTACACTCACTCCCATGCCTCTGCCAGTTCGGGCATCATCACCTCTGCCAGTTGCCAGTTCGGGTGTCATAACCTCCACTGCTAGTTGCCAGTTCGGGTGTCATAACCTCCATTGTCAGTTGCCAGGGCCGCCTCTGTCCGTCTGGGATGGCGGTGGCAGGTGGCCGTTAGATGGCGGCTATCATGTGTCGATCCCCTAATCAGTCAGGTGTGCCGCCTTCGGGTACGGTCTCCTGGGCGTTAGGTACGGTTGTTCAGTCAGGTCGACTTGGAGCCGAAGTGGTGTGCGAGGTGAAATCTTGAGTTCGGATAGAAGTATGGCCCGAACTGCCCCTAGGCGGGCAGTTCGGGTTTTTTGCCTTTGGTGCTCCTTGTAAGGCTCAGGACCTCGAAGGGAGAGCTCGGGACTCTTTAGTTCGGAGCTCGGTTTGTAGGTTCCTTCGAGGGAGCTCGGCTCTTTAGTTCGGAGCTCGGGTTGTGGGCCTGTTGTCGTGCCGAGCTGGCGTTCTGCCAGGTCACTCTCGGTTGCTTCCACGTGTCGCATGGCCAAGGGGTCGGGTCAAATCTTCCTCCATCAATTGACATCTATGCTCAACTTGAGGGGAAGTGTAGAGAGATTGGGCCGAATGGGCCCTAATATCTTTTCTTGTAGTGTGTTTTTATTTATTTATTTGTTAATGGGCCTATCATTATGGGCCTGTTATTTCTTTTTGTTACTGCCTAGCTGGCCACCCACTTAAGGGCATACTTGTAATTAGCCTAAAGAATGAAGTTTAACAAAAGGATTAGAGAAGGGAAGGAAGAGATAATTTGAACTCTTCCTCTTCTTCCTTTGTGTTGTTGTTCTCTACTTTTCTTCTTTTCTCTCTAATTTTAATCAAATTTATATCAGTTTTGGAGGACTGGTTCACATCTCTGTCTAACAGCAATTTGGTAACAGGGTTTGGGGTCACCACTGGTGTACACCTTTCATGGTCACTTTTTCGTGGTAAAAACGGGTATCCCAACCCTCATCCACTCGAGAGCCCTCTGAATCACATTCCCCATCTAAGGCAGAACATGATGGCTCCATAATGTTCATTTGAAGGTTGTTCAACAATTCCTCATCAAAGGGAGCAACTCTATCCTTTCCCCATTGTTTGAACCTTTTATCGAGAGCACCTATTGCTCACTCAAGTCCGCAATACTCATCTCCTTCTTTGGCTTTAGAGAAGACAGAAGCTTAAATTCTTCACAGAGAACCTGTTTAGCACCACAAGATCTGAGAGATCTTATTTTGAAGGATTTCTACATGATCAATTCCCTACGTCATCTAATTAAACCTGGACTAGGGTAAGGTCCCCTCAATCTTCTTGGTCTGAAACCACTTGGGCTGGTTCCACAATAACATCCTCTTGGGGTTTCGAAGGAGCCGAAATACCAACCAACTAATAGATTTGTTTAACAAGCTTCGGTTCCTGAGCTGGAGGTTCCACAGCATTTTGTTTTTGAACCCTCGATTCACCCTGCTCATCCTTTTTGCTTTTTAGCTTACATTCACTCTCCACAGGGCCATGTTAATACAATAACTACAATATTTCAGGAGGTTTTCATATTACGATTTTCTGTCAAAAACATCCCTTCCCCAAACCAACCTAGAATAAAGTAATAAAAGCATGCTTATGTGGCACTACTCAAGTTTGAAAAAGCCATTTTAATAAAGTTAATTAAGTAAATTACTTTAGGGTTATGATTGTATAAAGTTAATTAAGTAAATTAATTAAATAAATTGCAATAATTAACATAACTAAGTAAAATTAAGCTATGTAAATTAAGTAATTGAATAAGTAAATTGAATAAATATATAAACTAAATTAATTAAGGAAACTAAGTTAATTTAGTAAATAAAATAAACAAAGCTAATTGATATAAATAAGTAAATTAAGCCAATTAAGCAAAGTTTTAAAAGTTGACCCGAAAACAGAACTGCTTTGGCCATTGATTTTTGGACCAGCAGTTCAGTTGTCTAGTTTGAATGTGACGTTTTGAAAAAAATAAAAATAAAAAAATAATTAAAAAATTACATTAAATGAATTTGATTTATTTAACATAATTTAATTACATTATTCAATTAAATAAATTTATTTAATTTAACCTAATTGACTTAATATGATAAAATAAATAATTTMATTTAATCATTAAATTAACAAAACTAACTTAAATTTTAGTTAACAAAGCCTAACTAAATAAACTTAAACACTTTAAGTTTATTAATTTAATTTATTTATTTAACCAAACAACAAATGTGTATAGCCCCAATTAGAGGATTTTTGCAATTATTTTATATTTTTTATTTCATTTATTTATTTAACCAAACAACAATTAATGCTGATCACACTCTCCTCCACTTCATTGGGTACTTGTCAATTTGGTGATAATGTGCAGGTTTTTTTTTTGTTTTTTCTTGTCTATTCATTTCCCTATATATCTTCAATGTAATTGATGTCACTGATTTGCTTCGATGCTCTTGTTAGAGCATCAAAAAATGCAGCATCTTAGACACTACTGGTTGCTTGGACTTTTGAGCTGATGTTTTAATTTTTTTAACGAATTAATTTTATTTTGCAAACAAAAAAGTTTCCTTGATTAGACAAGATAGAGGGAGGGGGAGAGAGGAGGTAGTGTGGGGCTTGGGAAGAAAGAGAGGTGGAGTGGGGGACTTGCGTGTTTGAGTAGGAGAGAGACGCACATGGGCAGAGGGGAAGAGAGAATTAATAAGTCTTTTAATTACACGATTAATTAATTATTAATTATGTAGCTAATTAGATAATAATTTTAATGAATTACACTAATTAATTGCATCAAACCTTTTAATTAATAAACTTTAATTTAAGTCTTCCAATTATGTAAAATAATAAATATTAATTAAATATGTTAGTTATTCAACAACGGGATTCCCTACAAGCAAAAACTCTGCATAAGTTGTGAAAGCATGGGAATCCATATATAGATTGGGAACATCTCCCCATGAATTAAACACTTTTGTATGAAGGATATTCCCATTGCGTGGTTGGAGGCTATGTGAGCATAGTTTTTCTTTGAATAACGTTCGAGTTCAATTCTCCAATCACTCTTTAACCTATTTCAGAGAGAGAGAGATGGGTTGTGTGGGGGACCTAATGTCACAATTAGGGGGAGAGGGTGGTTGTGTGGGACCTAGTGTAATCAGGGGTAAAGAGAGGGGAAGGCGGGGGGGGGTTACATGGGATGCAATTGAGCCCAATAGAGAGAGAGATTGTTTGGATTTTAATATTTTATTCTTAAAATTCTAAATATTTTTATTTAAATGAAGATAATTTCCTTTTCTAAAAATTGTTTATTTAAAGACTTCTTTGTCTCCATAAGCCCATGGCCCCTGCAACATCAGACCCCCTAGTAAGGCTAAATTTGAGAGTGCTTAGAAATAAATGCTTATTTGAATTGAATAAGTACTTATTTTGACCCAGAACCACGCTAATAAGCACTTATTTGTATTTGGAAAATAAGCCCAAATAAGTGCTTATTTCTTTTCTGGCCTGTCTTGGCCCACCATGTCATTTTAAAATACCTATACTACCCCTATTTGAAATAAATTCTTTTTAGCCAAACACTCAAAAAAAACTTATTAGAATAAACACTTATTCATAAGCAATTATTTTTCAAACAAGCACTCCCAAACTTAGCCCAAGTCTAATGGAGCAAGATGCTTTGGTGGTGATTCAAACTCTGTCCAAGGATAAGACTCACCCACGCACATCACCCAGTCGCCTTTTGCAGAAATTTGCAGATTCTCCCGTTGCTCAGTTGTATATTACTCACCCAGGTCTACTAATGCTGCTGCCCGTTAGCACTGTTGATTTCTTCTTGACCAATTTGGCCTTTATATCTCATTGTATTGTAAATGATATTTCACTGAGCATCTCAATGAGGTTCGCCTGGTTAGGCTTCGACAAGAGTTGTAAAACTCAAAAAACAAAAACAAAAAATGTGCTGATTAGACACTCGATACTCAATTTTTTAATGGCGAGTGTCTTGATACTTCGAACCTTGGTCACAAACTTCAGGGAACATGGGCCTAGCACACATTTTGTGGAACCCTAAACAGTCATTCCATCAGCATTTTGTAACTGAAAATCAAAATATGTCATCTAATAATGGTCATCACTGAATTCAAGATATCAAGTCAAAAGAATAGAAATTTGAACAGCAATGCATAATTTCGAAGCTATAAGAGTAATTGATTTCATTGAAATAATTTACCTGTGCTGCACATCATCATTTACAAAATTGGAACAGATATTCTTCAAAAAAAAAAAGAAAAATAAGTATCATGCTGGCCAAATTCTAAAACTATGATGGAAATGGAAATTCCATTCCCTTGTCCTTGTCATGGAGTTCGTTTGCAAGTGCTTGATTGTGCCTGATGCAGGGAAAATTCCTCCCAAAATGAATACATTAAGACGTTGGTCCATCATGGCAGAAAATTAGCAGACGCCACCCAAAAGTACCACCAACAAAAATAATTAGCAAGATAAGGTAGAAAATTCCTACACCTTCCCTTGTAAAAAATGGTAATGGCATTGGAATCAATCTTATAGAGACAAGCTAGATATCCAATCAAAACTTGGTGTAGTCCTCCTTCCACTTGTTGACATACCTCAGGAAAGCCAATGCTGGACTGCCCCTTGGTGGAGCCCGTACCCTTGTTGAACGCCTGAGCACAGCCTCTTCCAGTGCAATCTTTTGGGCAATATCTTTCAATCTCTTTGTTAATGACACACTAAGATTCAAATACAATGTTGCCAAAGCAAAACAAATCAGAAAATTCTCAAGGATGGGATTCAAATTGTAAATTGTAAGGTTAAATCTGAAACCCCTAAAGAATTGTTAAAATATTGCGAAAAAATCATAAAAATATAAAAAACAAATAATCAATTTATACAAATTCATAGATAAACAAAGACAATGCAATAAACATTTTCACACATGTGAATGCTGAATCAAGACAAATTAATTTTCAACTTAAATCATGTCATTTAGATGTAGAAACATTTTGTGGGTAGCAGATCCGGAGTGGTTAAAATTATAGACCTACTAACGAAAATGAATCATGACCCAAAACAAAGGAAATGAAAACCAATCATGAATCCTCTACATTGCCCAATTCTAAAAACCAACCTAAGCTATATAAAAATAACTTGTTACCAAAATGAGGCCAGCCATGATTTGTGTTTTAAAATCACCAGGCACAAGGTGAGGCACGCGTGTAAGGCACAAAAAATTGCAAAAAAAAAAAAAAATTGGGGTAAATGGCTGAAACCTCTCCTGAAGTCAAGTTAATTGATAATCTCTTTCTTGGATCTATCCTGCATGCTCTTCAGTTATAGACTAACTCAATATTTGTGAATTCTCTTACAAAATCCATGCATTTTTACATAACTTTTTATACTGTTGTTATCTTTATTATGACCTCATAATTGATAGGATGATTGGAAGTGGGAGTGAAGCTAATGGGATCTACATCCTGAACTTGGCATCACAACAACCCTTGGCTTGTCCTTAAAGTGTTGATAGTCCTAAGTCTATCAATCAAATAAAGTTGATGCACAATCATCTGGGTCATGTGCCTTTTGAGCCTTGTAAGATATTGTTTCCTTGTTTTTTCAGTCAAATAAAGTGTCGTTGTCTTTCCTTTTTCAGTCATGGGCGGTTGTAATTTGTAAATAATCTATAGGGTTAAATACTTAAGTACCCCTGGGTGCAGGTGGAATTCGATCCCAAGTCTCTGATACAACCAGCAGGAGACCTTACCAACCAGTTGGTTGGCACCTTGCTAATACCATGATCTTCTCAAGTGTATCATCAGGGATGAATCTTTGTTTGTCATGTTTTTAAGACACACAACAAATCTATCATTTTTGCTATCTTTCCTTTTTTGACAGATGGGTGTATATTATTCCAGCCCAAATTCAAACGGTGCTCTCAGTTAAAAGACAAAACCAGTATTTAATGGAAATGCTTTAAAACCACAAGTATTTTTTTGGTAAACAAAACTATAAGCTTCGCTTTGTGCTGAATAAAAAAAAAAAAAACTTGCAAAACAGTAGCAATATTTTTAAAGTGAACTTGTGACATTGATTTCTGGTTTTTGAAACACAAAAAAAAGAAAGAAAAAGGAAAAAAAAAACTAGCTAGAAAAATGCAAAATATAAGGCTCCGTTTTGTTTGTGGGAAGATTTGGGTGGGATGGGATGGGATGGGGTGGGAAAGTGTAAAAAATTACCTTTCCGTTGTTTGGTTTTATATATGGGAAAATAATAGGAAAACACTGTTATGAGGGAGAAGAGAGAAGAGGAAGATGGAGGGAGAGACAGAGAACTCCATGACTGAAGCTCCGATCTGTGTCTGCGAACCCAGCTCTAAGTTCTAGCATGGCAGAAAACCTCCGATCTATGTTTGCGTCGATCTGGGTTCTACCATGGCAGAAACATCTTCAACGGTGGTTACCAGCAGCAGTGGTGGTTACCAGCAGCGGCAGTGGTGCAGCAGCGGCAGTGGTGCAGCAGCGGTGGGGCAGAGGATGAAGATGAAGAAACTCAAGTTTTCTCGAGTTTTTCCACCTGGGTCGCACGGTTTTGGTGCAACCCCGATTCCACAATTTTGGGATCTCGCATCCCACTTTTTTCTCATCCCATCCCCCTATTTCCCTTGAAACAAATGAGAGAAAAAGGAATATTCTCTTTTTCTCATCCCCATCCCAAAAACCAAACGGAGCCTAAAGGAACAGAACCAGAAAAGAATAGTTCTTTTTCAAGACTATAAAATTTTATGATATTGACTCTTTGGCACCAAAGAGATAGAGGGAGTGGGGAGAAGGACCATATGAACATAAAAACAGGAATTGGCAATGCTGCACAGTCCTGCGAATATGATTAAAGGTGGTCTGATTCTCTAGAGGAAACCGAGATTAACAAATGTGTGTGTGTGTGTGAGAGAGAGAGAGAGAGAATGATCAATGGTGAGTTAACTGATTCAAACGTTGGGGCCATAGACTCACAGTGCCATGTACAGGAGTGGGAATCTTCAAAAAGTCAAGTAGTAGCAGTTTAGCAGTAGCACCACTTGCTAGTGTAGAAGTGGCAAAAACAGAAATAGTAGCAGAATAGAGAAACAAGTGACGTCCATGCCTTTCTTTGACTGTGGTCTGCGCCATATCTGTAGCAGCTGGCCAACTCAGGAGTGTATATGTAAGTCAAATAATCCCCGGATTTTCTAGCTGTGCAATTGCAATCTCTAGTTCTCTTTCTACACCTTTTCTTTATTCTAAAATATATAAAATATCTCGTTACTTATTTGATATTGTTGGTGACAGAATTTCAAGTTAACAATCGTTACCTTATGACATTTATTGTAAATGAATGAAGTGCTGATTCATGTTATTGTGGTGTGTTTCTGTGTGATACCCTTAAACTGGACACATATGAGACTCGTGTTAGTTTAGTTGTTCCATCTTTATCATACTTTGCCTTTTTCTTTGCTCCATCATCTACTTCTATTCCCAAAGATGTTGTAGAGGCCATAAAACAACCCCGATGGAGAGAAGACAAGGACCAGGAGATGAAAGCCTTGAAGAAATCATGCTTGGCAATTAGTGAAGCTTCCTAAGCAAAGAGTCTGTTGGTTGTAGATGGGTGGATAATGTGAAGTACTAGGTTGATGGATTAATTGAAAGGTGCAAGGCCCAGTTAGTTGCAAAATAATACACTTAGACATAAGGAGTTGATTATTAGAAGACTTTTGCACCTGTTTGGATGAATAATTGAATACAGTTCAGTTATTGACCTCACTAGCTGTGCATTTCTCATAGTTTTGTATCAAGTGGATGACAAAGAATGTTACCACCGGAGATGGTTATTCTTGATAGTGAAAGGTAAGGTATGCAGGCTCAAGAAGTCAATCATGGATCAAAACAGTATCTGAGACTTGATTTGATAGAATAAGAGGAATAATTCAGGTGGGATACAGTCAGCTGCATGCTATCACGTTCTTTTTCCGGAGGAATGATTGATGACAATGAACTCTTGAAGTTGAAATAATATCTAGTTACATAATTTGAAACAAGGTTTTAAAAACTGACTCAGAAACAGAACTGCTTTTCCCTCTGGTTCCCGGGTTAGTGGTTTGACCATCCAGGTCGAGTGGGTCAAAACGGTTGTATTGACTTAGGTTTCAATGTTTGTGCTTTTCTGTCATAGGTATATGGTCCTTCACTGGTAACCATCAGAAATGTGGAGTCAGATTTTAATTTCCAATGTAAAATAGATGCCTAAACTCTCTAGGTATGAACACTTCATCTCTTGTCTTGAGTCTTGCTGAATGAGGTAGTTGCCCAAAGCTGGAAGAGTTTACAAGCCATTTTTGAAGAAAGGGTGAAATGGATTATAGGCTTTGAACTTTTAAAAAAGTAGGTGTCCTTCCTCCCTCCCTCCCTCCCTCCCTCCCTCTCTGCGAACTGTGAAGGCAGCTGATTTTTTTCTCTGCAACAAATTGGTTCTCTCTCTCCCTCTCTGCAACAGATTGGTGAAACTATGAAAGCAACTGATTTCTTTCTTTGCAACAAACTGGTGAAACTGTGAAAAACTGGTTTCACTCTCTGCAGCAGATTGATGAACCATAACAATGAAAGTATTCTCTCATGATCCCATCCAAAAACTATGAAAGAATCTTTTTGGGGTTTGGACTATCGATGAGATTGGAGAAAAAAGAAAAAGGGTAAGAGAGTTGCCAGTAGTAGGATGGAGGTAGAAAGAAAGAGAAAAGGAAAAACCTAGGGCTGAAATAAGACCCTAGGTTTGCTATTTTATTTGTCGAATAAGACAAATGGGGATATGAATGTCTTTTTATAATTTCTTTTATTTGTTTCAATTTTCACTTATGCAAACTGTGAACCGTTACCTGGGTCGAATGGTTTAATGGTTTAACCATCCGGGTCAGCAATTCTTTGACTAAATCAGTGGTTTTTATAAAAGTAACGGGTTGGGCCTTAAACAGAACCGGTGACCTGACTGGTTTCCAGGCTGAACGGTTCAACCATCCAGGTCAATGATGGTTTTAAAACCTTGGTTTGAAATAAAAAATCTTGGTGAGCAGTTTGGGTAATCTAGGACCAGTTGGAATTGGGGGAGAAATCGGGATGAAAATGTTTCTACTCTKGCATGTCGGGACCAATAGGTGAAGCAAATGCAATCAGGGCACAGAACTTATGGCTGCACTGCATTAAGTGCAGAAAGCTATGGAGATGGGAGTGGAAAGACTGATAGTGGAAGGAGAGTTTAAGGTACTGATCAGTTGGTTGATGGAGACATGGAGGGGGACAAAGCTCTATGGATTTATAAAAAAGAATTTAAGCAGTTCAGGTGGTTGTGGTTCACAAGGGATATGCTATTAACAGTTCAATGGATACAAAAATCAGCAAATAATTTGACAGATACTTTGGCCAAACAAGGGGTCAATCGACAGCAACTTTTCTGGGGTCAGTTGTAACAGATTTGATTTGGGGGGAGGGGGGGGAGTTGGGCTATGCCCTCACTTTATAATTGTAATGTACTGCTACAACTTTTTTATCAGCAAATAAAATTCATTTATTAAACTGAAACAAGATTACAGGTGTTTTAGCTACTTAGCAGCCCAAGTTACAAAAGAAATAAGAAATCCCAAATATATAGGTCATCCGGTTTCCTTTTTACTAGAGCAGGTTACAACTTTGCCCAAAATAAGGTT